CGGGGTATGTATCTGGCCAGTTTGTGGGGCCACTGTCGTTTGCGGAATAGCTGTCTGTTTAGCAAACTGCCCACCAAATTGTTACGGAGGCAACCATATGAACTGACCGTGCGCACCATTTGTTCGCCATATGCCACGAGACTTACCGTTGCAGTTGTTGTGAGCCTGATAATCGCTATTGTGATGCCGATTGTTGTTGTTAGCTCTTGGATCGCAGTCAATAACTATTATGCGGCGGCTGCTGCACTTGAAATTGTTGCTGCCATGACCAGCCTCAGCCAAAGTCTTTGATGCTTGGTCTGCGCACCCTGGATTGACACACATCTTTTAGGCCAGCGTTACCATCGAAGGTTTCTATAACCGTCGCGCCTAGTTGGATCTTGTTGAACGTTGGTTATACACCCATGGTGCGTTGCTGGTCTGTGTAGGCTCTCAGGGCGCATTGCCAAACACGCGGAGTTGTCGCGCCTTCCGTTTGTATGGGGCGCAAGGTGGTGTCTCCTATCCTTGAACACAATCTCTGGCAAATCGTAGCGACACTCTCAGATTGAGCACATGGCATGTGCTCTACTTGGGCGAGACCTTTTCAGACCGCACGGTTGCCGTTTCAAATGAAGATGATGTAGTATAGTTTGGGGAGATGACTGAGTTTGTTGAAAAGTGAGGGTCTATTGCTGCAATTTGGAGGGTTATCGGGAAGTCAACAGTCATTAGTTCGACTCCAATCTGATCAACGACTGTATGTTTCGACCATCTTTGCTGCACATTCTGGTTGCCATTGCGGGGTTCTCAGGCGAATGAAGATTACAAGACCCTCTCATGGGAGATGAGTTTGTCCCCTTCTTGTATCTCGAAAGTTTCGAACCCCTCCTTCTGCCTTTCTTACTCTAAGTCTAGTCTTGTTCAGATAGGAAGGCAACAGGCGGGATTGCAACCCGTAGGGCCTCAACAAGACTTTGTTCGGAGTCAACCCACCGATTGTGGGAGCTCTGCAAGAACTCAGGAGGAGTTTTGGAGGCAGGGAATTGAAAGGTAATCATTGATTCCCCTCCATAAAACCAGTTATAACCTTTATCAATATCCCTTGTTATGTTTTGACTGAGTATACTGTGTGCATCCCTTACTTTGACTTTCAATTTCACTTTCAGGACAAACAAGACTTAAATAAAGGAATGTATGTGCAATGTTAGTTTCAGTTTTATTGTTTGACTGAAAGCAGATTGTGGGATTACAACTGGGGAAAGGATGGGAGGAAGGTTGTATTGCTTGTGTTTGACTGGGTCAACCAAAGGCTGGGCAAGTCTCCATAAGTTTGGGGAGGCCTAGTGCTATGTTTATTTTGAATTGCCTGGAGAACCAGACATGTTCCATAAGTTTGGGTGGTTTGGTTGCTCTAATTTGTGAGGGGTGAATGTGAATGACTTTCAGGGACCAAACATGTTCCATAAGTTTGGGTGGCTTGATCACCTTGTTTAATTTGAGTTTCTTTCAATTTTTTTAGTTCCTTAACGAGGAGGTCTGAGCATGTTCCATAAGTTTGGGGGGCTTAATCTCTTCTTGCTTTGGTTTTAAGAGAAATGAACCAGGCTGAGGACTAAGACATGTTCCATAAATTTGAGTGGACTTGGTCCAACGCCACGCACATGCTGGAACCAAAAGGTTATAACTTGGTTGTACTTTACTACTATTCTGTTTATGAACAGGCTAGTCAGACAGTGTTTCATAAGTTTGGGTGGTTTGATTATAGCTTATTATCAACTGAAGAGAGTACTAATTAAGAATAAACCAGAAGGTACGAAGGGGCAAACTGAATTTTGAGCTAAGGATGATTGGTTTAGTTATATGTCACCTCAAAAGACTAAGTGTAGATAATTATATAAAGTTGGGATATTTAAATAGTTTAGGGTGACTAGGGTGATTTAGTTATATGCTGAAAAAAAAGAAAAGCTATTGTGATTTGTGTTTGTGTATATTTAATAGTTGAGCTAGACATGTTCCATAAGTTTGGGTGGTCTAGCTTTATGCCCTATGTAAGCTGGGTATAAAGGGATAAATCATTGAGAGACCATAAACTATTGTTTGATAAGTTGACTTTGGGATGGTGAAAATACTTACCTTTGTGGTTTAACCTGCATGTGACTGAGTGCAACTACTACTTAGTCTAAGTTTCAGTTTGATAGGTAGTTGCTTTGGTTGCTCGCCACGTGTTAGAGCCATAAGAGTTAGTCTCAATCTCTGCATTTTTTTAGCTAAGTTTGTTTTTACGTAGGTCAATTTCTGTATTTTCTGGGATCTTTTGTTATACTTGGCCTTGTATAAATTTTGGTAAGTTTCTTTCTCTACGGGAAGCGCTGCCGAAATTTTTACAAAACCAAGGAGTTAGTCAGATTTTGTCTTTTCAAAGTTCTTATTATTTGACTTTTATATATGACTCAGTAAAAATCTACAGAGTCTCATTTTCTAAAGGGAGTGCTACCCGAATTTTTTCTAATTCACGGATTTAGACAAAAATGAACCTTGAGAAGTCAAAATCATTTTTTATTCTGAACTTAGCTTTGTATAAATCTTGGAATAACACTTTCTCTGCGGAAGCGTTGCCGAAATTTCTGCAAATCTACGGAGTCAGTTGAACTTTGTCTTGAAGTCAAACTCCAATTTAGCTTTTGAGTTCCTATCTGACTTAGTATAAAATTTGAGAAGTCTACCTTTCTAAAGGAGGTGCTGACCAAATTTTTACTAATTCAGGGAGTTAGACAAAATTTGACTTTTCAGATTTAGAGTTTGTTTTGTTTTCATATTTGAGTTAGTATAAATTATGCGAAGACACTTTTCCTACGGGAAACGCTGCTAAAATTTTCTTAGTTTAGAGGAGTTAGATTATATTTTGACAGATGACAATTCTGACAATCCACTCGGTATAAAGGAGATTTTGCCAAAAGTCTGCCTTTACATTAGGCACTTACTTAAAGGTAGACTCATGATTAATTAAGTAGAATAATCCTTGGTGAAATCGTGATATGAAGATTACTCTCGATTTGAACTCATAGATTTAGCTTGGGGATTGACATGTCTTGTGTTATAGGTCTTCTTGAACGTTTGATTCAAAATCAAGACTAGATTCAGCTTGATCGTATAAGGATCACCTTCTGTTATCATTGATAACAGGCCGGTTGCCGATTTGTTGATCTACGACTCAACTCCAATTCATCCTCAAATACTCAACCTAAAAGGCTTCATCCCTGATGAATTTTATTTGTTTTATTAAGGTTTTCACCCGGACTTTTATTGAATAGCCAGTTGACAAAGGTACTGAGTGTTTAATTATGGTTGGTTGGACAACGGTTGGGGTTTGCATGGCTAAAGCGGGGGTTATGAGTATAGAGGTTGGTTGAAGTTGACTCCGTGTAGTGTGTGAACTTTTGGTTAATTCTTTGATGTGATTGCAAATATGTACTGTGGTTCGGATTTCTGGATTTGAGTGTCTGCGATCACACACATATATATGACTGTGAGGAGTCCCACTGTGATTGTGAGAAGTGATCGTCACTTATTTATAACCCTATATATATATATATATATGTAAACACATATGCATTGAGAGTTCGCTCGGCCTACTGCGACCACGCGTAAGGATTAAACAGATTGTGCTTTTGAGAGAAGAGGGAGACCCTCTTTTATCTTTTGCTTTTCAAACTTTTTATGGTTGGATGTTATAGTCCGTGACAACCGTCAAAGTCAAACCCCTTGACTTTTCGCTAGTCCCTAGATAATGAAACTGGTCCCCAGGGCAATAAAAGACGATTGCCACCACAGGTATGAACCTGTATAAAACCCACTCTCCGCAGGGTGCAGAAAAGGGTGTGGTTCTCAACCGCACTTGGTGGTTGTCCAATGCCGAGAGATCAGCCCCTCAAGGCGCGTGTCAGCCGACACTTGAGTGTCGAATGTAGCCCTTGAGATCCTCGAGGGACCGCTTGATTATGGGCACTACATAGTACGCCATCATTGCGACTGCTTGCTTATTCATGCATTTCTAGTCGATATGAGAAGCCCCTCCGCCCGCACAGTTTTATACTACGTCTTGAGAGCGACGCTCATCCGATTTCCGCATCGGAAAGTTATGGGATGACTACTAAGGGACTAGGAGTATTGTCGCGTTGTTTGTCCTATGTTGTTTTGTATATGTGCGTGTATGTGAGTGTGTTTTTTATTTTTTATGTCATTAGAATGGCGTGCACGTGGTGTGTGGGATGCGTCCTAGTCGACCGACGACGAGTCGCGCTTGTGACCTCAAACCCCCAAGGCGTCGGTTCGCGTGAGGGTCCTATAGAGTTGTAAAACCGTGCGTACCCCCTATGCTACAGCGAACGAGAAACGTCCTCTGCTGGTCCACCTCTGCGATTCCAACTGATTAGCTTTCGTACTGTGGACTGGTAGCTCGACGGGGATACACCCACCGAAGGGAGGTGACAGCTCCCGTAAGGTGGAGGTAAGTCGTGCCTCGCGTAGGCCCTATCCTGTCGTAGGGGCTCGCGAGAGGTATGGCAAGCGCACTCGGCCGGAGCAGCTTGCGGAAGCTCCATATGCATTTGCGACGAGGATCAGACCGACTTCTGTGTAACGCGGCCGGGAGGGCCCCGCCCCCCCTTGCGCGGTGCCGAACCGATGCGCTCGACAGGTGGCGCCGTTGTCGGGGATAACGGAAGCCTACCGTTGTCCCTGGTGGAACGACATCCGGGTATAAGATTGATAGAGAATACATATATGAGGAAAGACAGAGTACATAATGCCTTGCCAGACTATTTATGATGAATAAACGTTATTGAGGTAATAAGTTTTATCTTTGATCTGATTAGCTGCCTAGGTTAGGGGGTCATAAAGGAAACCCTATAGTAGAAATGGGGCCTATTAAGATGAGTTCAAAAAGGAAGGAATAGGTAGTACTACTAGATCTGAATCGCTAACTGACTGTCTAAGAAAACCGATAGGCATCACGGTAAGTTAGGACGCTGAATGAAAGTTTTTTTCTTCATCCTCTTCTTAACAGGGAAATTTGAGAAAGAGGTTCTGCGAAGATGTTAGGAGGCATAGCCGATGGTACCGGGAAAGTCCTGACGATCGACGATTTGGTCGAGGCCTTGGACAGGCGTGAAAGATCCCAGAGCAATGTTCTCACAATTGATACCTTCCACTTCAATGGGGAGCGAGTCTCTGATTGGCTTGACTTGGTGGAACAAGCGCTGGAGGGACTATTTGACGCTGTGAAGTTTCAACGGATTTTGAAGTATGTGCTCCATGACCATCACCAAGAGGTAGAGAAGGTCGTGAACGCAACTAACGACAGTTGGGCGAGATTCAAAAATGGGATGCAAAGGAAATACAGGCTGGCCTGTTAACCACTGCGGACCTAAAAGTCATGAATAGGAATGACTTCACCACCGTGGGGGCCTTCGTACAAGAGTTTAAAAAGAAGGTAAGAAAGGTCCCCAGGATCTCTGAGGAAACGCAGTGTGCTATTTTCCCAGGATTACTCATTGCCTAGGAAGCATCGAAGTTGACGAGCCATGGAGGAGGGGGTGCGAAGCTCACCTGGGTCATTATCGACAAAGGGGTAGAGGAAGGAAGTCTGGACCAGGTCGAGCAATATCAGATGCGCCTGCAAAGACGAAAAAGGAAAGAGCGAGATGCGACCGCCTCAGGGACCCCGGGGGTGAAAAGGATTATCACCGACGTGCTTGCGGAGCTAGGTTATGGGAAGGACACGGTGATACAAAAGAAAGTGGTGACGACGATCCTGTGAAAAGGGAAGGAACCGGTGATAGAGGAAGTTGTCCAAGAGGTGTGGAAAGAAGAGGAGCCGATGCCCCAACACCTTTCAAAAGCGCTACGCAAACAGCGCAACTTAACGCAGGGGGGGGAAGGCTCGGGAAAGGGGCAGGCGCCCCAACCAGTGGTAGTAGCATCGCCGAGTATGTCGGCTCCGCCAAGTACATCAAGACCCTCATAAGCGGCGGTACCACTATTTGGGCAATGGCCATGGCCTATGTTTAACACCTTTGTGCCATGGGGAAGCCTGACTCCATCTGGGCAGATGATACCATATGCTGGGCCCCAAGTCAGTATGCCACCACCAAGCTATCCCGCGACACAAGCCCAACCCATGACACCGCCTCTGTCGTCCACGCCGAGTTCACAAGGTAGTATGGCTGGTGGAGGTAATCACGGCTAGGGTAATCAGGGGAATGGAGGAAGAGGCGGTGGAAAAACGTGGAAGGAATGGCGGTGGCTGAGGGGGACAATGGGATAACCAAGGCTACCAGGGCCAGGGAAATCAAGGGAGCCAAGGAAGCGGGAGGACCCGTTTTGATTGGAGAACCGCTATATGCCAGCATTATGACAAACAAGGCCATACTATACGGTTTTGCAATACTAGGCGGGAAGATGAAAGGGCGGGACTAATCTATTCAAATATGGATGGTGATATATACGATCAGTTCGGAGAATTTATTGACCGGAAGGTTCCGGGCGGAGTAAGGGCAGAGGCTCAGAGAAGGGTAGTTGCACGACAAACACCACTTGCCACGTTTAGATTGTGGCAGGAAAAGGATGATCCACCAATTAGGGTGGAAGAAGTGGGAAGTGATGAAGAGGTAACTCAAAGGCTACGGACTGGAACTATAAAAGAGGAGCCCATAGTCGTTGAGTCAGATGAAGAGGGCGAAAATGAGAAGGTGGAGTCCGCATCAACCCTTATAGGAAAGATGGAAGACCTGTGGGGAAAAATGGGGAGGTACCAGCAAAAGTTGGTAGACATTTGTGAGGAAGTAAAGGGTTGGGGGGCTGGTATTCCCAAAGTCTTTCTTTATGAGTCTGGCTCGGAATCGATGCCAGGACGACCCGGAGTAACTACCGTAGGATCAGGCCCGCGGTCTAGAATGATCGTCAGACCCCTTACGGCGCAAGGAAGAATGGCGCAGGTGGCTCGTACCAGAGGCCAGGCTAAAGTCAGTGCAAACCAGGAACCTCTGCGGAAAGAGTCAGAGCTAGAGAAGGGAAGACAGGCTGTAGAGGTAGGGGATGATGAGGAGGAGGACGAGCAAGATAAAATGTTACGCCAAGAAAAGGATCAGAGAGCGGAGTAAAGGGCCAAAAAAAGAGGAGCCCAAGAAGAAACCGAACCAACTTTGCGAGATACGACGCCGAGGAAAAAAAAGTATGCGGTCCGGTTGGAGGAACAATTCGACGTGGAAAAGGTGATTGATAGGTTGCTTAAGGGTCATAACGACCTGGTGGCCTTCAAAGAGATCTTGGCTTCTGCTTCTAAGCTCCGCAACGAGCTAAAGGGAAGACTCTCTCGACGCTTAGTGTCGAATGTCCATCTTAGTGTGATTCTGCCAAAGGAGGCGGAATGGGCCGAGACAGGAACGAAGATGAACTGGAAGTGTGTGGTGGATTTGGTGGTGAAAGGCTCCAAGTGCGCAGCAATGGTGGACACAAGAGCAGAGATTAATATCATCCGGGAAGCTGATGCAGTCAGGTTTGGATTAGAGATAGACCGCTCAGATTGCGGCATTTTACATGCAGCAGTATTTTGTGGGATAACCTCGAACGTAATTATTGAGGTTGGGAGGGTGAAAGTCAGGGCATGCTTCTTTGTCATGCCAGATGTTGACCATGACATCCTTCTGGGAAGGTCGTTCCTGTGCAGACAAAAATGTTGATGTTTAATAAATACGATGGAATTCTGATCCTGATCATGTCTGATTTGGCATGTGGGAGTTATGAAATAATCACTTGTCGGAACACTGGTCCACGGAGCATAAGGAACTGGCCCAATCCTAGATCGTTTACAATCGAAGAATCCGAGGATGAGTATCCAAGACTGCGTATGGAGCCAGAGGAGGAAGAAAGGGATAAGGCGTTCTCCCTCAGTTTATCAGACGTAAGCAAGGCTATGGATACAGTGGTCACACACAAGACGGCGGATCCGGACGCCATTCAGGCATTGAGGGAGCAAGTCCTGAAGTTTCCCCAGGCTGGGGAACTGGAGCTGGTCTATCGGCTTTCGGGCGAAAGGAGGGCCCCTGCAATGATGCAAGCACAAGCAGTAAGCCGACCTTTTTTAGGGGACGGCTCAAGCAGGGTTCCCAAAGGCGGTACAAGACGATAGATAAGAAGTGTCGCCCAGTTCTCGTCCTCGTCACGGAAGATGAAAATGTTTATTACGAACGGGAATGAGGATTGATACGGCGTATGAGGGAGCAAGCGGCGCCGGGGCCGTGTCGTATCAATGAAGAGAATGAGGAAAAATTGACAGTGGGAGAGTCGGAGTTCCTGCTACCCCGGGAGAGGGCGCTGATGATAAAGTTGATGAAGAAGAGACATCGCGTCTATGTGTTCTATGACGATCAGCGGGGGCGGTTTGACGTAGATAAGATCCTCATGATCCGGATTCATACCGTGCCGCATTAACCATGAAATTTGAGAGGGGCATGGTATCCCAATCCTGACGAGAAAAATAAGGTAGTGGATTACCTCGACGACAAGATACGTACGCATGTCACCGACTACTCGAGTGGGCCGTACGCGTCTTCATGATTTTGTTTTGTTAAGCCTAATGGGACACTGCGGTGGGTGCAAGATTTGCAGCGGCTGAATGCAGTGGCTGTACGAGATGCGGAAGATTTGCCAAATGCAGACGCGCTGTCAGAATCCTGTGCTGGGAGGCCTATAATTTCACTTATAGACCTCTACTCAGGGTATGACCAGTTTTCAGTCTGCCCACTGGACAAGCCAGTGACAGCGATGCATACGCCCAGAGGACTGATCCATATGAATGTGGTTCCGTAAGGATGGACTAATGCGGTGACGGTGGTTCAACGACATATAATTCGAGCCAGCAGTCAGTTAGCCCGCATATAACTCAGCCGTATATCGACGACTTGGCGGTAAAGGGGCCGAGAGAGAAGGAGAGTGGCGAGGTGTTGCCGGGAGTAAGGCGCTTTGTCTGGAAGCACGTCCAGAATCTCGATGAAGTCCTGAACTTGCTTGAAGAGCACAACCTCACAGCAAGTGGAACCAAATCCAGACACTGCATGAGGGAAACTACCATCCTAGGTTTCGTCTGTACTGAGAAGGGTCGTCGGCCGGACGTGAGAAAGACGAACAAGATTACTGAATGGTCAGTACAATTCCATTCGATAACTGATGTTAGAATCTTCCTCGACACTTGTGGGTTCTGGAGAACCTTCGTCAAGAGTTTTGCCGCCAAGACTGAGCACTTGAGAAAGTAAGCTCGTCAGGACCAAGAGTGGATCTTGGGTGAGGAGCAGGAAAAGGTTGTGTCTAAGATGAAGGAGGAGTTTCGAGAAGGAGGGTTAGTATTGGGAGCACCGGACTAGAATGCCATGGAGGTAAGTCCTTTTGTCGTTGAAACGGACGCTGGATCGACTACCTTGGGAGAAGTTTTGATCCAGGCAGATGTTGAAGGAAAGGAGAGACCACTGAGGTTTGAGAGCCGAACTTTGAACACAACTGAGAGAAACTACTCTCAGTTAAGAAGGAGACTCTCGTTGCCCTTCACTGCCCCAGGATCTTCAGGAATTATATCTTTGGCAGGAGGTTCATATTAAGGGTGGACCTAACCGCGCTCGCCTACTCATTGAGGAATTACGTTCCATCGGATCCTACGATAGCCAGATGGTTGACTTACATCTGGATGTTTAACTTTGAGTTGGAAATGATCCCGGGAACAAGAGTAGAGCAGACGGGTTAAGCCGCATCGACTGGGACCAGCAGAAGGAGAAGGCGGTAGAGGCTGCACCCTCGGTGGACGGGTTCCTGGATCAAGAGGAAGACATCCGTCTCCATATAAATGAATGGTCTTTGTGAGTGCCAAATTGCGTTGGCCATCCCTTTTGGATTGCACCCAGGGGATATGAACAGAAGGCAGAGCTGGTGCTCAAGCCCTTCGAAAAAGAAGAACCATGGGGCGACAAAGATGTCCAATGAACAAGAGTAGAGCAGACGGGTTAAGCCGCGTTCCTGGATCAAGAGGAAGACATCCGTCTCCACATAAATGAATGGTCTTTGTGAGTGCCAAATTGCGTTGGCCATCCCTTTTGGATTGCACCCAGGGGATATGAACAGAAGGCAGAGCTGGTGCTCAAGCCCTTCGAAAAAGAAGAACCATGGGGCGACAAAGATGTCCAATGGATGATGAAGCTGGCACTAGCAGGCACGCATAGTCTGGTAGAGGAGGTGAAAACGATAGAGGAAGGGCCATATCAGGTAGAGAAACACAAGGAATTGATGGGAGGGATGTACCTCCTCGTCAATACACTTCTGCAGGGAAACGTTGATCAGATAGACTCGCTGAGTCCAACTGAGAATGAAGACGTGGTGTCAGAGAGCCAGGATGACGAGCTTGAAGAAGGGGAGATCAGAAAGGCGTTCCGAGCAGAGGAGTATGATGAAATCTACCTGGAGTTGGGGCTTCTCCTATCATGTGAGATGCGGGATAGGGATGCAAGCGAAAGGGTTCAAAAGATGAGGCATCTCTATTTGGTGAGAGATGGTCATCTCTTTGTAAAGAGGCAAGTGAGAAACCCAGGAGGGTTGTGTGTGGCAGAAACCGTCAGATTGATATTATAGTTGCGCTTCATGATGGCATTGCAAGAGGACACTGGGGAGTTAGTGCCACGTATGCTAAGATAAGCGAGCTATACTATTGGGATGGAATGATGAAGATGGTTAGCAAATTTTGTCGTTCCTACGTACCTTGTCAAGAACGGTCTCCTCTGAGGCCAGGAGAGCCGCTGCATCCCAGGTTAGAAAGGGAAGTGGGGGCCCTAGTACATCTTGACTTGCTCTTTATGTCGATTGGGGATCATGGCTACAATCATATCTTCGATGTGCGTGACAACCTTTCTGGCTTTGTATATGGACGAACCATTCGTACAAAAACCGGTTCGGTTTTGGTAAACTGCATTGAGGAGTACTACCTGCATTACCCCTTTGTCAGAGAATTCGTGATGGATAGAGGATCGGAGTTTACCTGCCAGGAAGTGCAAGAATTGTTGTCAAGATACGGCGTGGTAGCCAATTACACTACGGTCGCGCACCCCCAGGCAAATGCTCCAGTTGAAAGAGGACATAACACCATCACGAATCTTCTGGCTAAGTGGACTGAAGGTAGGCCTAATCAGTGACCAAGATACCTAAGGGCGACATTTTTTATCGAGAATATTATAGTAAAGAGGACCACTAAGTATGCGCCAGCCACGCTATGGTACAGGAGACACGCCACCTTCCCAATTGAGAGCTTCCTGAAGACCTGGAGGCGTCAGGACTTGGAGACCAACCTGCCTTTTGAAGATTGCTCGATATACGAGCGTGACAGGTAGGTGCGATAGAGGAAAGGTTTTAGGAGACGTCCAACCAAGTGGAGAAGAGCCGCATGGATGATAAGGCGTGTTGGGACCAGTTGGCGCGAGTACGGAAGCTACCTTTGGCAGTTGGAGACGTCGTACTACTATATGACTCGTCCCTGGAGAAGCAGTGGTCCAGGAAGCTTGACAAAAGGTGGCTAGAACCCTATCGGATTGTGCAATGTCGAGATTTTGGCGCGTACCAAATTGAGGAGCTGGATGAGACGGAATGAAAGGATTGGGTATCGGGAACGAGACTAACAAAATTTGTGGCAAGAGAAGAGGTGACATAGGCGATCCAACTTCGTTAAAGTAAGATCCTAAGTATGAAGGAAAGAGTCATAGATAAGATATAGAAAGAGAAAGGGTGATAGGATGTATAGGTTGGATATGTGTGCTTGATAGATGTGAGTGGTCTGACCCGAGTCTGTTTTATTTTCTGCCTATTTGCTTACCCCAAAGTGTGTCTGTCGTCTTTTTCCCTATTGTGCAGGTCTAACTTTACGAAGACAACCATGCCAAGAGGAGGGAGAGGGACGCGGCCGCCACGGAGGCCATTGAGAGCATCAGGAGGTCATGAGCGGCATGGGTCTCGCCATAGGGAGCACACGCCGTATACGATGACGGGGATATAGAGCTCTTTCTTAATGATTTCAGAGGGTATACGAAGCATATGGGGTGGACAGTGACCCAGATGATTGAGAGGCTGAGAGAAACTGGTAGGTTTGAGGAGCCCATCGCACGGATCCGTAGGGAAGCGAGGACCTAACCAAAGGTGGAGATGGGAATGCAGGAGCTGCGACCGTCACCTGTGGGGCCTGATGGAAGGCCGATCCGTCTAGAGATCGGGAATGTGGAAGACTTCATCCCCGCCTTCGAGCATTTCATGCATGTTCAACGCATATTGAGGGATGAGTAGGCACGGACGTTGCCACTATGGACTAGGAAGGCCGAGAGGCCGTTAGCCAGACAGATCAGAGACTGACTCGAGACTGGGAGAGTTGCAGGGCACATTTGAGGGAGGCCTTTCGACGACAAGAGCCACCATAGCCTAGGGCTGAGAGACGGCAGAGGAGCAAGAGGCAGAGGGACCCTAAGCCCAGAGAGGCCATGTCATCGCGAGGAGGACAAAAGGCGCTCGCTACGCGAGAGGAGGAGTTGGTATCTGTGGAGGAGGGGCGATGGGCATATCCCGAGTGTAGGATAGGCCCGGTGGTCTTCCAGCGCTTTACTGGAGCGGAGTTGAGCAGGTCTCCCCAGCACGTGAGAGAGGAGGTGGCACCATCCAGAGGATCATTGCAGAAACTGGAGGCGCTGGATATTTCACAGTGGAGAGTGCCTAAGGCTGGTGAGGGGCATGATGAGTCGTCAGAGGAGGTACCACGAGAAGAGGTCCATGAGCCTGAGCGGGAGACGAGGCAGAGTCCTGAGAGAGGGCATGCTATGGAGGAGGTGATAGAGGTTGAGGAGGACACTCCACCTCAGGCGCATGCTGCAGAGTTGGGGCCAGAGATCGTATCGGAGATCGCCCGCGAGGAGGAGGAGGAACCTCGGCAGGAGGAGATTCCGTCCCCACGGGCGGAGGTGATCCTTTCGCCAGGGGTGAGGATGGAGATGGAGCAAGAAAGGACTGACTGGAGGAGAGAGGTCATCTCCACGATTGATAGGTATCTGGTTGCGCATGCCCAAGAGCACCCTGACATCGAGGAGCCCGTGCCTATGGAGCCACCGCGAGAGCCTCACCAGCCAGAGAGAGAGGCAGGGGCCGAGATTCCGGGAAAAGCAGGCCATCGCACGAGAGGGAGAGTACCGGCAGGGGAGACAACCGAGGAGAAAGGGGCCAGAGCTGGAAAGCGCGTGGAGGAGATTTGGCACGAAAGGCAGAGATTAGAGGCGGTCGGAGCACTTCCGGATCAGCCACCTGACGCACCCCCTAAACCATGTGGGGTCAAGAGATGTGGGACGACTTCTTTGGCCAGTGTGGCGAGGGGTTGGCGGCTTCAGAGAGGGCCGGACTCGGGACATCGAGGATGGCGGATGAGTACCCGGATCGTAAGATCCGCTTCCTGACCAAGACATCTTTTAGTAGGTATCTGATGCTGGAAGGTGATCTGGCCGGCAAGAAGATAGAAGAAGCGAGCCATGGAGTGCGTTTGGAGACCGTTGAGGCGGAGGTCCGAAAGCTCAGAGTATTAGTGGCTACTCAAGCTGCCCTCATCCAGGATTTGAGGCGGCAACCTCGAGACGGGGCCGATAGGACAGAGAGAGAAGAGCCTACCGAAGTAGTGGACAGGGCAGGGAGTAGTCGACTTGACACTCAGAGAAAGTCAGTACTGGGCTTATCCGGGCAGCCATCCGCAGTTGGATTCCCCGAGGAGCCGCCCATGGGAAGAGTCATCCTGGAACCTGAGGAGGCAAAGGCAAAGAGGGAGGCAGAGAGAGAGACCTTTGAGTTCAGGGCGCCTACTGAACTCGCCACATTGCCAACAACAGCTGTGGAACCCATGACAGTGGCTATGCCATTATCAGTCGAGGGGGGGCAGCAGACAGCTAGCAGCGAGCCAATTCAGGGTTCAGGGGAAGGGTCTATGGATGCGCTTCTAGAGACAGTTGACACTATGCAGGAAGAGGCGAGTCTATTTTCGCCTGAGCAGAGGGTAGAGGAGCCTCCTGAGAGAGAGATGGTGATTGCGATGGAGGGCGTCATCGAGGGCAGGCCACAGAGGCTGGATATGCCTGAGTATAGGCCAGAGGAAATTGGAGTACGACTGGAGCAGAGTACTCAGGTTTTAGAGACGAGACATGAGGAGCCTATGGGTATACCCCAATCCTATGAGGTGGCCAGAGAGGATAGCGAGGCACCCTCATCGCCAGGATCTCATTGAAAGAAGAAGAGGCTAAGAAAGTCGTACGACCCGACCTGCTTTTTTTGCAAGAATGGGGAGCATAGGGCCTTGCAGTGTCCTAAGTTTTTGAAGGACAGGGCAACAAGGAAGGTTACTGAGAGTGGTGGTAAGATGTATGATAGAAATGGTAGAATAGTAGAGCGATCTGCTGATGGGGGCAAAGCTCAGTTATATAGGCAAAACCAGGAGGAGATGAGTGAGTAGGGATTGGTTTACCTATGCGTTGATTACTGTTAGGATAGCAATAGGGATGAGTAGAGTATGTACACTGTAGCTGAGGTTTGGTTGTATTTTTTGCTTTTGATTTTGCATTTTTAAGAGTCTGGATATTTTCGCTGTTAGTTGTACTTATGGAGGATTACAGCGTATGATTCTCATTAAGATTCTTTTTGGGGATATAAGAGTCAGGATCATGTAAGATAACGTATGTATGATGAGGATATTCTTTCTTGACTTTGATATTCATATTCAGTACTTGTCTCAACGACGTTTCCAAGCAGTATGTTTGACTATGTACCATATTGAGAGTGACATTGATTGATCCAAGTGAGTTATGAATCTGGGTTACTATGTGTGTTTTTGGATTAGATATCTCATCCCGGAGTGTATTTTTTAGTTGAGTTCTATCCGAGACTACTCCCCTATATATGACGATGACAATCACTTTCACATGTTTGGTTTTATCCTGATGTATGATGACTTTATGTGAGAGATGTATAGGAAACATCTCGTATGCTGTGTATTTCGTGAATATGAATAGATGTGAACTGTCTACTCTTCGGTATACTCGTGCGATCTTCCCATGAGCGGATAGTGGAGTCAGTTATAAGGAGAGGGAGTGCAGTCTGTCTTTGTGAAGAGAGTGTGAGAATCCTAAGAGATTAATGAATCCTTGAGACTCGAACGCTTTACCATGCCAAATGTTTATTGTTGAGTTGTGATGAGGACCCAGAAGTTGGTCTCTCAGTTTGAGTGGATTTATGGTTAAAACATCCTCGAGTGAGGAAGATAGTCTTATGTTTTGTTGAGAGACTTATCTTCAGAGAGGAGAGATGTTTTAAAAGAAAGGTCGTCCTAGAAAGAGAAGGGATGACTGGGACACCTACTGAGTGAGACCTCCTTCATATGAAAGGTGGTTAATAAATTTAATGGCATGAAAAACTGATTTTGAACGACGTGGGATAGGAGTCGAGTCGAGTCTTCTTGAGTCCTGATTGAATGCTTATCAAGAAAAAGCCTATCGTGGCGCAACCTGCGAGGGCACTACCGCTAAAATAACAACGTGGTGGGCCGCAGATCTGGCACGATCACCCAAACCTGCATAGCACGGCGAACGTGTTCGTGCCCCTTCATGTTCGCGCGAACAACTCGCGAACATGTTCGGGCGAACATATTTTTTTTTTCGTAAAAAAAAAATAGTAATAAAAAAAATTGGTTTTTGATTTTTAACTCATGATTGGCTACGAATTTGAATATGACTCCAAGGCAAAAGTTGCTTGTATTGTTATTTTACATGACATACATGTTTTTCAGATTTTTCTGAGAATGTGTGTGTTTTTTTTTTTTAAATATTTTTTTATGTTCGCGTTCGGAGGGGTTTGGGCGCTTGTTTGTGTTCGGGCGAACATGTCCGCGTTAGGCTGAAGGCACGCGTGATCTCTCTGTTTTTTTATAATTATGAAAGCCGGTGTTGGTCGCCGACCAAATTTTTATTGCTGATTAGACTATGATAAAAAAGGTTTTGTCTTTCCTTTGGCACGTTTCACCGCGGCGTGTACACGCAAATGTGACCAAGCGTTAGGCCTTGGTGTGTGGAACGGCGTGTGTAGTGGCCACGCCATAGTTTAAGCTAGTCGGCGTGGACGTCTAGCCGCCGTGGGAGCAGATACAGGCTGAGGTGTGACCCATGGGCATTTAGGAAGCCTACACACTACGCAACACCGGTTTATATGGAGTCTCACATAGGTTGGTCTTAGACTTGGACCTAACACTATTGATTACGTCGTTGCACTTTCACTATGAAGATTTAGGGATCGAGGAAGCGAGCGGCGACGATGCGGGGATATCAGAGTAGGGCGAAGGAACCGAGGGGGTTGGGGGCCCGGCGGGCCTATCCCCTTTGGTTTTATCGTCGGCGGCGTTAGAACGGTGCTAGCATTTCTTTCCCTTGTTCGTCATATTCTAACGAGTAAAAGTCTCTAAATATTTTAATATTTATTGTTATATTATAATTATTTTGCTCCAGCGTTCTTTGACCGAGACTCGACTTTGGATCTCGAGGTTGTCCCAGCGGTTGAAAACGTTGAGCGGGTACATCCGTCGGTGGACCCATGGGTTTCCACGTGCTGGGAATGCCTGGAGGGGTAAATGCATGAAGAATAGCAAGGGCCGTGGTGGTGGCTTCTCCCCGCTTCCCACTTAGAGAGCGTTGATGGAAAGGAATTGGGGAACATTTCAAGTGGACCCATGGGACTGCAGCTCGACAACGACAAAGGTCGCTGCAAGCGCACCGTTCGCCATCCACGATCAGTTGAGAAGGCTTTGACCGTGAGTATGCCCGCGCTGGCAGGGACTGAAGCAGCCATGCACACGAGGCTCCCCTTCGCTTTGACTGCCAGAGTCTTTATTGAATATCTGCTATCACCACCGAAGACCTGCGCTAGGGCCCACCTCGTCGCAGCCTGAGCTGTAGACCCAACAATGGGGCCAGGGAGTGCCATTGGCCACCAGCGCTAATGTCTTTCGGGACATCTGTAAAAATTGGAACGATACGGAGGAGATTAGTTGGATGCCTACACAAAGAAAATATTGTAATAAATCGAAAAAGAGTCGAGCGCCCTGTTTTCTTTGTTTCTTCATCAAGGAGTTCCTCCTTGTCGAAGTCGAGCAGTGTTGTGATATTGGCATGACCAAGCTCTGCGTTGGATCGCGAAGGGACGGAGGCGAGCTGAGAGAACACGACATGCAGCAGATAGTGCAGCCAAAGATAGCATGAGCAAGCGGAGCAACTGGGTTGCCTAGCAATATGGCTGGGTTGCTAAGATTGAGAAGCACTACGCTAGCAGCAGCGGAAAAAAGGTGTAGCGAAGCCAACGAACAGAGGCAAGTGTGGGAAGAGCGAATGAACCCGGACGACGCACCGTGCCAGGTGCAGTTAGGAAGTAGGAGAGGAGCGAGGGAAGAAAAGGGGAGAGTGCGATCGATAGAAGGTAGCTTCGAGTAGGAGGAGAGGTGATCCGGGGGTTTTCAGGGCGAGCGACCCCCGGATCCGAAGTCGGATCAATGCGAGGAGGGGTGTAGTGGAAGTTAGGGAGGAAAGAAGGTGCGCTGAGCTATGGCGGAAGAGAGAAGCGGGAATGAGGAGAGTGAAATTAACATGGCTCGCTCGTTTCTCAACGATAACGAGCAAATGAAGATGGGCTCCTGGGATTTTCAGACAAGGCGAATTCGATTGTGAAGTCAGTTTTAGGAAAAGGTAAGAAGAATTGGACTTATGTAAAAATGAAGTTGTGCGGATGTAGTATGAAGGTGGATACGGAAGAAAGTAAAGATTGTGTATCTCGCTCGTTTCTCGGCGAAATAGAGCGAGAGGAGAAGCTAAACTGGGGTTTTTGTGGCGGGCGAACGTGCTGGTAAACACGGATTTTGAGATGGAGCGATGGATCCCACGACACAAGGAGTGAGGGCTGCGTGAGGACCAAGAGACTGGGGAAAGCAGGATGAACCTACCCGCGTTTTAGCGGAAGGTTCATTTTGAATTTGCCCATCCTATTGACAACAAGGAGGAAAACTCGGCGGCAAGGCAGTGGAAAGAATGAAATGAACCTGGGCGTTACGTCGTGCCATGTGCATTCAAAGTTGAGTGGGAAAAAAACGAGTAATGGCGGAGTAAGGGCAGGCGCAGTCAAAAAGCCGTAGTTCCTTCGATTCTTAGTAGAATCGGGGGAGGTAAGGACTAAAATTGGGTTTTTAAGCCCTTGTGAATTCAAATCTCAGGTTAGTTTTGATAGAAAGTTAGTAGATAGCGAGATACTAAAGAAAACTTGTGCGTAGAGGTAGAGTGATGGTGGAAATGAGAGGGAGTGAACGTCATAAAACTTAGTCAATTGCTAATGGAACCTGCCTAGGAAAGAGTCGAATTCGGCGTTTTAGCCCCGGACGAATTCGACTATGGTGTTAGTTTTTGCTCACAGTAGTTAGTTTAGTCGGAGTGAGTGAAGAGGGCTGCGTACGAGAGGGAGGTTTCAAAATTGCCGATGAATCTGTTTGTGTTCTAACGAAAGATTCATTTTTGATTTTTCGTGATCCAGTGAGGAGGAAAAAAAAAAAAAAAAAAAAAAAAAAAAAAACGCCGCTGTCCCTCCCGTTTCCCCATTTTGATAATACCACAATTACTCTCCGTCATGACCTTCCTCAATTAATTGTGTCGTCTTTCTTGGAGTACGGGGTATGTATCTGGCTAGTTTGCGGGGTCACTGTCGTTTGCGGAATAGCGGTCTGTTTAACAAACTGCCCACCAAACTGTTACGGAGGCAACCATGTGAACTGACCGTGCGCACCATTTGTTCGCCGTATGCCGCGTGACTTACGACTGCAATTGTTGTGAGCCTGAGAATCGCTATTGTGATGCCGATTGTTGTTGTTAGCTCCTGGATCGCAATCAGTAACTATTATGCGGCGGACTGCTGCACTTGAAATCGTTGCTGCCATGATCAGCCTTAGCCAAAGTCTTTGATGCTCGGTCTGCACACCCTGGATTGGCACATATCTTTTAGGTCAGCGTTGCCATCGAAGGTTTCTATAACCGCCGCAGCTAGTTGGATCCTGTTGAACGTTGGTTATATACCCGTGGTGCGTTGCTGGTTTGTGTGGGCTCTCAGGGCGCATTGCCAAACACGTCGAGTTGTCGCGCCTTCCGTTTGTATGAGGCGCAAGGTGGTGTCTCCTATCCTCGAACACATTCTCTGGCAAATAGAAGCGACACTCTCAAATTGAGCACAGGGCATATGCTCTACTTGGGTGAGACCTTTTCAGACCACATGGTTGTCGTTTCA